ATTCATGTACATGTATACGTGCAGAAGGTTGATTTCTATCCGAAGCAGCTCATATATAGCTTGCTTTCCTCGTCATTTTGTATATTAAGAGAGAAATGATAACATTGTATTTCAGTGAAATTTTCTTAATTGTAACTATTTAGAATTATTGACCACAACGTTTTCGTTTGTTTTCTTCAGTAGCGTCCTCATGGGAACGTGCAACACATTAAGTTATATGTCTCAGAGTCAACAAGAGAATTAATTTTTATTCTCTAGGTTCTCTACTGTACTAATGACAGTTTAATTTTGGTTTTGAGCTATTATGTGTATGAATTGGTTAACGCCATAATTATGTCAATGCAACCATGTCATCCGGGGTTTCTTATTCCATATATCTGTACTTATAATGCATTCGATGTTCATTTTTTCAAGCTTACAACACTCTAAGAGTTGACTGAGGTAAACACATACGGTTACCCTGGATGTCTCGTGTAGGTTGATTGTCACGCTCTCTTCATGTTAACAAATCCTTACAACAACTGTCTAAGTGGTACGTAGGTTACATATTGTAAGGCAAAATGTAGGGCTTTGTCCACCAAATCCTTGTTGTCTAGTGGCAAACCAAACCTCTGCTCTTCTTATTGTTCGACCTGACTTATAGAACCTTTATATTTTATTATTTGCTATTTTTTTCTTGTCATGACTATATATGAAATAATTGTCAATTGATGCTAAGCAAACATCAATCAATCAATCAAGCATCAGGGACTTCTTCCATCTGTCAAAACAAACTGCAGTTCCTCTCTGTACAAGGCGAGATGAGCGAGCATGATGACTGTCAGTAAAAAAACAACAGTTAAAATTCACATACATGAATCAGTGTTTTAAAAGACGATAATTTCAATTTAGTGAAAATAATTGCTTTCATGGAAAGGTTTGGTAGGTCAGTGTGATTAGACAATATTCAATTAGACTCAAGAACCACATCCCATTCTAATGAAGAAATAAAGATTGTGTTGCTGTAATAAGAAAACAAATACGTATATATCTGCTTCAGAGAAACCCGCTTTGGTTGTAAAATCTTATAACAGTAGTAGATATGGTGCTTTCCATTAAATAAAGTAAAAATAATTAAATGTTGTAATCATTGAATGTAGCATTATGTGATTTTGATTTGTAATACGAGTGTACATTATTTTTTTTGTGTATCAGCCTATAAATATATAAAAGATTGGAAAAGTATAGGTGAACCAAAATATCTTTATATTTGGTGAAATTATAAAATTAGCAATACGAAAACTTCTCTGAATTTATTTTATTGTAATTCCTAAAAGGAAATATGGACGATAGCATTTGCATTAATTCAGTGTTTTACTTTAGTTCCGTGTTATATGCGTATTTTAAATGACGTAATCATGTTGCAATAATATTGCAAGTCCTGTCTGAATCATTTTTGTTTTTTTAATTGCATGCCTTAATTGCATCATTGACATAAATTATGAGTTTTTGTAAAAACTACATAACTACATGTCTTGGGCTAAAAAAATGGGGCCTTCATGTCCGTTCTCTCTTGCAATCAAAAGATCGTCAGTGGTGTTTAAGATAATAATACTGAAGACCCCGACATCATATACAATGTAAAACATGAATCAAAATATACAACGAAATACAAACGGTTGCAAATTCTGTAAAAAATAATTAATAATACATAACTGGCAATATTGCCATTCCAGAATTTCTTTTTTTTACGTTAATTTCTTCCGTGATATATTGTAATATGACTACGTTTATGTATTAAGCCATATCGTCCATTCCTGTTTCTATATTACCCAACGACAAGCAGAACTTATTAGCAACGTCACAATGTCTGCGGAGAAGATATCAGCAACGTCACAATGTAAGGGGGCATTATCAAGCTTACTTTTTTCAAGGGTAAAACTGTCTAAAGATGGATAAAAGTTAGACCAGAAAAGTATGATAAACAGATTATTAGATTGTCTTCATATATATATTGCGCTCGATAAAATGTGAAGCTGCGCTCACGTGCCAAAAAAGGTTCATGTTGTGGCTCTATAATTTTTATAAATCAGGACTTAACAACCAGCAGTGCGCGAGTACGTGCTGCCTTAAGTAGAAGTATTTATTTTTCTAAATGTTTGTACCAGTTTTTAACGTTTAAACTGCTTGATAGCCATCTTTTGAGTATTTCAATGGCGTTTTCTGGCTTATATATATATACATACAATATGGGCTAAATTGATGTGTAATACTTAAATATGTGCACGTAAAGTTAGTTTGACCCCACATTGCATGTCTGCACCATGTCAGGTGATCAACACTACGTGGTATTCATTGTTGTTTTTCTTTGTATGTACGTCAATTTTTTTCCGTATGAGTCTGGAGTTGTTGGTTGCTGTAATATTCTGTAATTCTTATAATACATTTTGATAAAGAAAAGTATATGAGGAGTAAAATGCGTTTACCTCTAAATTCTAGTAGTTCGCTGTCGCCCTTTCCTATCCTCTAACCTAAGCTTATACAAATTAGCTTTAATTTTGATGTAAACCTGCCCTTGAGTATATTAGTTAAGGACGAGAAATCACAAAACACGAATAACTGTATGACAAGGATCGGTCGTGCCGGATTTAGATAATTCAGTTGCATTATAGTCGAATTTAATATAACGTATGATTACAAAAGTGGTGAACATTGTATTTATCAACAAAAAAAAGAAAAGAAAATTGTACCATGTACAGTCATGATGACAAGATAAATTGATACATTGTGATAGAACAAAGACGAAGATTTAACCGGTACTATTTATCATCTCGGAAGGATAATGACACAAAAGATACGAACGATATCATTGACTTGAGGCAATTGCATGCTTTATTTTTAGAGTATATTGATGCATTCAACTTCTTTGATGATAATTCTAGTGATTTTTACATCATAATGAAACCTTAGGCCTGATCATTCATTACTTGTAAAATGATTGAAGAGATTAGTGATGTGAAAATAATCTTCTTTCTTTATAATTATGTCTATCATTCGATGTCTGGTTGTTGTAAGTTGCTGTTATTTATAGAACCAAATCCTGAATGTTATTATTTTCTAAGACGTCAATGTAATGTTTATAGCAAATTATTTATCAGTGGTATACATTTGTTATAAAAAAAAAAGCTTAAAGTTAAGACAATTGGACATTACGTATTGACATATCTAGTTTCTTGATTTCCATATCTTATCATTAATGGAAAATTCAAGTATGTTCCTTGTGATAAGCCGTTTTGGTTTTTTTTCTTTTTTTTTTTTTTTTTTTTTTTTTGTAAAATTATCATTGAAAATGAGGACTTTATAAAGTTAATGTCTTACATTTCATTGTATTCATAATCATGATGCAGTGCATGCATGCAACTTCTGAAGTCAATGTTTAAAAATATAAACACGGACACAAATAACATGTGGTAGTAGGTATACATTGTTTTCTTTTTAATGTAAAAAAAAATATGGAACCATTAAATTTAGGCTACATGAACATACCTGTATCGTGAACTCTTGTCGGTTTTTTACTACCCATGATTCCTTAGATGTGGCATATACCAAGTGCACATGACTGTGTCATAAGAAACTATGAGTAAAATGTTGCATTCGAGCAATGTTAAAATTCACGACAACGGTGCTCTCAGAGAAACTGCTTTTATTTTAAATTAAAAATTACCTTTTCATGGTTATAGAATGTATACGTTGTACTCATAGTGTATGCGAAAAGGAAGGGGATATACCAAGGGACCTTTATACTGGGGTGCTCCGATGATAAGTCGCATTCGGTGATGTCATAAACAAGGGAAAGACGACTGAAATGTGACTACGAAAAGTAGCTGTATATAACCTTGGTCATGTCACCATCTGTGACACGTATGATCCGTAACGTCTGTATTGTCTTAGATGTACGCAAATTTTATATGTAGCATACACAGCCTACTTGATGTCAATTTGGATAATGAATAGTCAACACTTTCAAGCACCTGGATTCTACGCCGGTTCTTGTGTTTCTCAAACTTCCGTAGTGCATGTGTATTGCTTTAGAGATTATTTGATTTACCTGCACTTGTAATATAAAAAATCTAGAATTTAAAATTGATACTATAAGACAGAAAAGCATAAGTAAAGGAAAAAAATAAGCTAAAAATATTGATAGGTTATGGAACTCCTTTTTGCGATATTTGATTTTTTTTTTTAAATGGCGGGAAAAGGCCGACTCGGACTTTAACCTTATATTTAGCATTGGCATTGGCATTATTTGGAAAAATTAAAGAAAAGAAAAGAGGGTGGTATGGGGCTAAATATTTTAACCTGTATCGTAGACAAAAACCGATAAGTCCGAACACCTGACAAAAATTCTGAGATAAACCTGATCTAAGTACATCTTTAATACATGTACAATGCATGCGAAATTTTTTTGAAGTACAGCGATTTTCTTTTAATTTGAGGGAACTAGTTGCTGATGGTAGATCTTTGATAATCTCTGTTTATAACATTTTCACAATTGTTTAATGATTTGTGTCGATTCGGAGCTTCATAATATTATATTTTACAGACACATGTCTACTGTTGAAACCTTTAACTTTACTCAACATCTCCTATCATTCCTTTGCTGTTAAGTCATTCCTCTTTTGTACATGAAGTTGTTTGTCCTTTGCATTGTTGTTTGTTTACCCACTCCGTATTTTGTACTTTTTTTAATCTATATTCAAACTTTTGGCAGAATTGGCTACACTATTCGAGTTATTTATCCTACTTTTGATCTGTTATTTTTTAAATGAATACGAACCTCTAGAACTGTTGAGATCTAGAATTACCGCACAGAAACGGATTAATTGAAATAACTAAAGATAGGCATTCAGATTCACGTCCTCTGGTCTCCGTTGGATGTCTTTGTGATTGCAGCATATATTTCTTTTATATTTACTGAAATTTTCTGTGGTGATGACAAAGACAATGAAAGTGAAAAGAAGCTGGTATCACGTTTTATTTGGACATTAATGCTCAGAATTTTGGATACATAAATACATCTTATAATTAAATGATAAAAATAGATATTTAGCTTTAGAAGCCAGATACACAAATCATCACAACCATGCGTATACATTAGGAATTTAACGATTATAATATAAATAAAACATGTAAACAGCCAAAAATCGCAATCTTAGAAGAACATGATATATTATAATATTACAGTTTGTGTTCCTTCTTTTCCAAGTTTTTCGTTTTTATATAAATGTATTATCTGTTTGTATCTTCTTTTGTACAATAGTCTAATTTTAGAAGTTGTAAAGGGAAACAATTCATAGGTCGGAAAACATATGCAAACTCTTGAAAAGCAAGTGGTACGATTATGGTGTCTTATATATAATTTAAAAGAAAACTTTGACTTCGTATTCGTATTCGTGCATTCCATATTTATTGTTTGTGGTGAGAAAGGGGGATGAATACAAGGCGGTAACGGAATGACACTTATTAAAAGGTTGCCTGCATCAAGACATACTTTTTTCCATAGGTTCACATTGACATGAACTCAGACTGTCCAAAATTCAGAGTTGTCTCCCTTTGTTCACAATTTGTAAAATTGGAAGCGAGGTCGGTAATTTGAAAATGGATTATTCGAAATAGAAACGATTAACGATCATGATCATGCTTCTTAAAACATATTTTTGTTTAACGAAAATTCATAATACTTATAATGATTTGTTCAAAGCGTAAATTACTTTGTTTCCGTCGAAAAATTTAAACTGAAATTATTTTTTTCAACTTTGATGCGATATAGCTTAATTTAATAACAACATACTTGATTATGAGATGTTGACAAGGCTGATTATATCATACTGGTTGACTTTTTTCAGTTAAGAGTTTCATTTATGAATTTCGTTTTGATCATTAAACCGTCAGTTTAGACCTTTTCCAAATCATTAGAGCATTTTACACATGTAAAACAACAACAAAATAAAAAGGTCAAACACAAAACAATACCAATTAATGTATGGCATACAATCAAATGATAATATGTGAAATTATAAACCGTTTTATCGCACCAATTCTTAGGTTCATGAAGAGGGGAACGGAAGTTTGGCTTCCAAATATCGAAAAACCAACAGTTTCCAAAAACAAACCAAATTGACAAAAATATTGTTAAGCCGACATTTGCCATTCTGCTAATCGTCGCCAACTCATTGTCGTCGTGAAAGTCCTCGTCATCCTCGTCATTCAATAGACGTATTTGACTACACATCATAAGCGTTAATTTTATAGTTCCAAAACATCCACCAACGAGTAAATAAATAGGTAGTTTCCTTTCCTTTGGGCAGTCCTCGAGATATTTAACTCCTACAAGTAGAAACGAGTGCTTTCTTAGCTTGTGCATATTATTAGTTACATAGTGTGCTAGTGACCTAATACGGTATATATGGGGTCAGTAAATTCCATATGGGGTGAGAGCGAAGCTCGAATCCCCATATGGAATTTACTGACCCCATATATACCGTATTACGTCACTAGCACACTATGTAACGAATTTATCTTACCGACTATCTTAACGTGTGAAATTTAGACTAGTGACCTATCAAAATGAGCAAGTCTTCAATACCGTTATCATTTAGAAACTACTTCCATTGAAGTTCAAAAACAGATACCAACAATAACAACTTGTTAGGTTTAAATGTGTTTTATAAATTTATTTCAATCTTCATCGTCAATTTCTACGTCTGTTGAAACCTTTAAGATTGTTTCTCAGTACCGTTTTGTTTTTATAAAGGGACGTAACACCACTACTAACCGTGTATGAAATAAGCTCCGCCTCCCTACTAACCTAATATGGAATATACACGGTATCCACATGGACGCTTTTAACCAATCATATTCCTAGAAATGTATAGGAGGTAAGATAATATCGGATACAGGTTGTATTACGGCAATGTAATGTCTTCGGTCTGTTAATAAAGGAAATTTTACAACAGCTTTTTGGACATGAAGTGCCAGTCCTAAAGAGATTTGTCTCATTGATCGTACACCTGGTCCAATTTTAAAAATAATCTGTTAATTTTTTGGTTTTTTTTTAATATCACCATACAAGACTTGATAGCATATTAGTGGAACTTTTAGAATTTAACTTCCACTAAGTTTCTTCAGTCCTAAATGTTTACCCTTTAATTGAAATATTTGAAAATTGAAATTGTTCATTAATTGTACATTTCTATTTGCTCAGTCTAGTGTTATATGTATCGGTTTGTAGAATTCTGATTGTCTTTTCGCACTTTTTTGTTTGCTTGCCATCGTTTTGTTGGTTTCTTTTAAATTTATGATTTTGGTTGCCCCTTTGTTATTTTTTTCCTTTTTTCTACACTAAGGCTTGTGGAAGACAACCCTCAGGTATAGTATAGGACTAAACATAAGTTAACACATCTATAGTCAAGTCATACTTGCCAACCTCTGACAATGAGAAATCATGTCATGACATGACATGACATGACATGTCAAAAAGCGTGTGAAAACACGTGACGTAGATGCAGACTTTTTAATATGAACAATGTTCATAATTTCACATTATACAAATTTGTTAATATAAAAAACAATATTCTACTATAAACTTTTATTGTATTCAACAGTGGTCTGTTTTGCTGCTTTTAAAGCAACACCACTAAGTACAAATTCAAAACAACTGCCAGTTTGGTTACATTTACTTGATAACAAGGCACACAATATATCATTGTCAAGTTCTGATCAGAATTCAGTGTGAATTTCTTTATAATTGAAAATGCTCTCTCACAGTCAGAATTTATATTGGCTGAACTATAATAGCTCTATCAAGCTTTGAAAGAGTGTCATAACGTTTTTTTGCCATCTAAAATGTCATCTATTATCTCTGCCATTACTCCCAACAAACTATATATGTTGCTATTGCCTGGTCAAAACTAGGTAGTTTATCAGAAGACAGCTGGTACTATGAGAACTGATCCAACAGTTCCGTGATATTTCCATCCTCTATGGCCTGTGGAAATCTGTTGGCTAGATTTAATACTGAAAAAGAAAAATATTTCATTATTTGATTACCATTAAACACGTTAAATGCTTAATCAAATAGCTATATTGTAGTTCTCCTCTCACATGTATTGTTATGATTGCAACATAGGGTGTACAATGCGTTACTCGTCCCTCGATCATTTGTAATCGAACTCCCAAATATAATTTATAAATCTCAGTGAATCTTAGACGTACACATCGACATCGTTTTTACTTAACAATCGGCTCTTTAGACGACAGTACAGGTCCTGAAAGCGACCTCTTTCTGTGGACATTTCCCCTACGTAAATTTGAAAGAAAGAAAGTCACAAAATCGTAAAAACTAATCACAAACTACTTACCTTAAGTGCTTTTTGCTGTTCGTCCATATAGAAAAATAAACAATTACTTCGAAATTTTCGGCATTTATCGTCTTATAATGAAAAAACCCGAGAATCGTGATATCACTAACGACCAAAAAATCAAAACAACGAAAAAGCGTGTAATTGCGTGTAAAGTGGTGAAAAGCGTGTACACGCCAAGTGACAAAATCCTCGCGTGTAAACCGTTGAAAAAGCGTGTATTACACGCGAATATCATGTCAGTTGGCAACTATGGACGTTTTTTGTTAAAGGTAAATCCACAAAAATCGCATCAGACACAAGATATACTTTATAAATGTTTTTATTATTTTTTCATTTACGATATACTAAGCTTAGATTCTAGATTATGCAGTTATGCAGTTTTTAGACCTCGTGTCGACACCTTTAAACAAACAAAATATAAATGTGCAATTAAAATATTTATCAGAAACTGCATAAAAAAAAAAGAGTGGATACGGAAAAAATAATTTGAATTATTTGCAAATTGATAATATACCAACTTGACTGTCAAGTTGGTATATTATCAATTTGCAAATAATTCAAATTATTTTTTCCGTATCCACTCTTTTTTTTTTATGCAGTTTCTGATAAATATTTTAATTGCACATTTACACGCAATTAACGAATGTGCAATAAAAACATTTATAAAGTATATCTTGTGTCTGATGCGATTTTTGTGGATTTACCTTTAACAAAAAACGTCAACCTAATTAGCCTTTAAAAGACTAGTATTTATGAATACGTATACGAACGTAAAAGCTATACATAAAAAATACATACATGACAGAATAATAAAAAAGTGCCAATTCAGATAAGTACCATAAATATTTTCAAGCATATATCATTTATAGGGAGAAATCTTCTGTAAAAAGGGAGTATGTTAATTGAGAACCAGTTGACAGTAACGAGAAGAAGAAGAGAAGAAAGCGAACAGTAACACTCGTCAAATGAAAGCGTTAGGCAATATGAATTCTTGTCAAATCTGCAGAATGACAAGGCTATCAAGCTTAAGCAGTAGTTAGTTATCCTATGCTTGCAACTAAATATCATAAATATTCTCTGTAAATTTACTGTTCACACAATTATAAATCATTCGAAACACTTATATTGTTCTACTCTTAGGCATAGATTTTATTAACCAGATTTGTCACAAATTTTGGGACTTTTTGTTCATTTGTTTTCAACTTTATAACGGGTTTGAATTTCCAACTGTGTTAGTTTAAGTGTCACTGAAAAGACTTATGCATAAACGTAAAGTTCGTTCTTTGTATAAAAATGACAATTTGAGATCAGAGCTTTAGTAGTAAAAAGTGTATTTATAATAATTCAATCAGCATGGGAATATGTCAGTGGTCATCAGTCAAACCAATAAGAATAGTATTCGTGATTAGTAATAAACAGTTTTATAGCGATACTCAAGCTTAGGCTGGTCTAAAAGCGTGACTGATCAATCCACGAAAGAGTGATTGAACTCCCACAAGAAAGATACAATACTGAATACGAGATAATAAGAAGGACACTAACCATGAGAAAGAAAAACATCATATGTGGAATTAATGCTAAAGCATAAGACATGTAGTACAATTCTCACCAAACAGTTGTCACACATTATTTTGGTACTTAATTTTCTATTTCAAACTGTCTTATTATATCGATTTCTATTGTGTACATTTCGTATGCAGCATGCATATTTTATTTATTCAATTGTAACGATCTCGAAATTCGCTATGACTTTAAATGTCCGAAATATTTGTTAACATTTGAAACATGTTAGATTATAAATTTTTATTTGTCAATAACCTTTTAAACTCTAAGCTTATGCAAACATCTTACAAGTTCGTTATGCAACTTTTATTCGGTCATATCAAATACACATATAATTCAATTGATTGATGGATTGATCACCTATCGTAATTCTCTTTGACGAATTAAATCACTTAATTATATAATTTCTGTTTACAACATGACCCCAACAAACTGTGTTGTTATAGCAACTTTATTTGGTATTTAAAGAAAGATAAATTTATATTCAGGGACTCCGTTTGGATATGCCAACGAGAGCACATGAACTGCGTTCGGATTTTCCATCGCAATCATATATATTGTTTTTGGCTTAAAATAACTAATTTGTAACACTGATATTTTATATTTGGACTTTATTAAATGAATTTGGACTTTACCAATTTGTTTATGTTTATTGTATTGAACTGCCGACTTGTGTGTGAATAAAGAGCTAGTACCCCGCATTGTGAATCATTCCCAAAGACGGAATCCCACTCAAAGCCATCTAGGCAGTTTTATTGAGAAAAGTGTAACGAAATACTTTCTCATAAGTTGGTGGAGTATCGAATCGATCTGAGGAACCTCTTGCAATACAACAAGCGAGTGGCATAGTAGGTTCGGGCGCCTACTCTTTGTAATAATGGACTATTTATATCAAATATCAAGACCAAGATGTTCACATTACATGCACACGTCGGTATGCTGCTGGAATGTTAAACCGTGGCAACCCTACCGAGAATTTCAGAAATTGAGGTCTGTGGAATATGGAAATACGTCAAAATCGAAGGAACATAAACAATCTAGAGATCGTCGTCATAAATCTAAAGCACAGAAACTTCGGGATATGAAGCGACTTGATCAATATCGACAACAAAAAGAAATTGTAAACGAATTACCGTTTTCTTCGATAACCAATAGTGATCTAGATAAATCAGTTCCAAAATGTGATACTAAAACAGAACAGATGAACAAGTTAAAAAGAGAAAATGAGGATTTGAAGAAGACAATATTGGTATTGACACCTGCAAACGGGAATATTACAGGAAACATCCTTGGCACTGATTCAAATTCAGATAACCAAAAATTAGAACTCGAAAGACTTTCAATTGCACTACAACATCACAAAGATATCGTTGATCAGTATATAGTGTATGCTTTAGACATGGAGGATTTAACTTCAAGCTTAAAGGATGAAAATGAAATATTAAAACAAAATCAAGGAAACCTTTCTTCGTTGGGACATTTGTCTTTCCAAAATCAGCAACTCCAAAATGACCTACAAAGTGTAACAGCGGAACTGAATAAAGCTATTCGAGATACAAACTTTTGGAAAGATAATGCATTCCGGGAAAGTAAGCAGTGTAGTGATAAGTACACAGAAATATATGAACTTGAACAAGAAATAAAACAACTAAAAAGTGACAAGTGTGGATTAACTAATGAACTCGCTACGTGGAAAATAACAAGATACAAATGATACAACAGAAACTATAAAGCCGAAGAAGTAACAACCATCAGCATTTTCACCCGAGACAAGGACGATATCCACGATATTGAACTCTTAGTGAACATTTCATTTTACTATTACTCATTCAATGACTCAAATTTATAAATTCGGGACGAATTTTCTTGAAAAAGGGAATAGTTGTCACACATTATTTTGGTACTTAATTTTCTATTTCAAACTGTCTTATTATATCGATTTCTATTGTGTACATTTCGTATGCAGCATGCATATTTTATTTATTCAATTGTAACGATCTCGAAATTCGCTATGACTTTAAATGTCCGAAATATTTGTTAACATTTGAAACATGTTAGATTATAAATTTTTATTTGTCAATAACCTTTTAAACTCTAAGCTTATGCAAATATCTTACAAGTTCGTTATGCAACTTTTATTCGGTCATATCAAATACACATATAATTCAATTGATTGATGGATTGATCACCTATCGTAATTCTCTTTGACGAATTAAATCACTTAATTATATAATTTCTGTTTACAACATGACCCCAACAAACTGTGTTGTTATAGCAACTTTATTTGGTATTTAAAGAAAGATAAATTTATATTCAGGGACTCCGTTTGGATATGCCAACGAGAGCACATGAACTGCGTTCGGATTTTCCATCGCAATCATATATATTGTTTTTGGCTTAAAATAACTAATTTGTAACACTGATATTTTATATTTGGACTTTATTAAATGAATTTGGACTTTACCAATTTGTTTATGTTTATTGTATTGAACTGCCGACTTGTGTGTGAATAAAGAGCTAGTACCCCGCATTGTGAATCATTCCCAAAGACGGAATCCCACTCAAAGCCATTCCGGCAATATTTATTAGGGAAAGTGATAAATACTTTCTCATACTAAATCAAAATATTTCTATTAACGGAAATTCACCATAAACTAAGTAAAGGAAATATCTGCCAAGCGTTTAAATGCACGTCTAGCCATCGTCCGAGTTTTAACATTATCTGTTTCTCATGATTATTTACCACGATTTTTAAACAAGAAGATATGTTTATAACAGTCTGCTTCGAATATTTATGTTTAATAATCATGCAGTACCATATGCTCTCAATGTTTTTTTTTATATTCAAAAGTGGTTTTTGCTAGATTGTGTTTGGTTTGGGAAATGTAAAGTAAATAAGGTATGAAATGATTGCAAATCAGAGCAGTGTCTGCATTGCTATGGTTTTGTTGTTTGCCAAATCTATGAACTTATAAATATTTCAGATTTACTTTGAAATATATTTCTACTGTGCATTTTAACAGTCCTTGGTATTCTAAACGAAAACCTACTGAATTAGACTTATCACCGGGTTGTACTAACATGAGCAACACGACGGGTGCCACATGTGGAGCTGGATCTGCCTACCCTTCCGGAGCACCTGAGATCATCCCCAGTTTTTGGTGGTGTTCGTGTTGTTCGGTCTTTAGTTTTTCTATGTTATGTTTTATGTACTATTGTTTGTCTGTTTGTCTTTTTCCCCTTTTTTTTGCCATGGCGTTGTCAGTTTATTTTCGACTTATGAGTTTTAATCTCACTTTGATATCTTTCGCCTCTCTTTTATGTAGGTCCTTGCGTATTTATTTATCTTTGTCAGTTCTAGCTTTTGGTCCTGAGTGGTTCTAGTGAAAGTAAATGCAAAAATGCGTATAGATTACAAACTGAAATAAAATTGAGAATGGAAATGGGGAATGTGTCAAAGAGACAACAACCCGACCAAAGAGCAGAAAACAGCTGAAGGCCACCAATGGCTCTTCAACACAGCGATAAAATTGTATGTTTGCTAAAATTATATTAACGTTACCAATAATCATCATAGCGATCGGCAAGGACATCAGAACTCCAGAAAACACCGTCACAGGCCCTGGAAATATATGATATATATCGTTTAGTTAAATCTTTTGTTCGTGATCGTGTTTGTTTAAAAGTAACATGTAACCGTTGCTTTTGCTGTAACGTCTCAGTACTCAAATTGCGTCGAGTATCGTATTTGCACCCATTTTCCAAAACAGTAGCGGAAATATTACCGCTTTTCTGAGGGGCTTAACAATATTTATTTTTATAATACGCCATTATGCACGCCTTTTAACAACGCTATATATATTTAAATATACACAAAGCGGTCACATTATAGGTCAACAGATGAAGTATTAAATGAAAAGGTAAAATCTACAGAAACGTCTCATGCGACGTCCACTACAAATCAGCAATTTTAATATGTCATAGGCATTCATTTCTCATAAATTGAATAGAAAGCATGGACTATTGTCAAATTGCTCTAAAAATGTTGAGAAATAAAACATCATATCAGTTATTTGGTTTTAACGGATGTGATGTTATGTATCATGTGTGTAAATTAGATACTCTTCATTACAGAATTTCTTTTCGTTTGGAGGGGATATCAAATAGATATAAGAAGATGTGGTATGAGTGCCAATGAGACAACTGTCCATCCAAGTCACAATAAAGGAACCTTTTTTTCTATGATTCAATATGGATTTAATTCTAAATTTGAGGAACAACAAAAATAATGTATCCTTGCAATATGTGAATTTCCATGGCCTTCTGTCTGTAAATCTATCTTATAGAAATAAAGAAAATATTTTGTTGTACTTAAAAACATTTGAATAAAGGTGATTTATGTGGTGTAAATAACAATGAAAATGCAAAACAATAATTGAAATATAATGACACCTTAGAGATCTTCAACTATCGCTGAATAGTCCTATCATTTGTCAAGCTCAAAGTTGCAAAATGAATAAAAAAATAGGATGTCATTATTTGTAAGTGTTTATTTAGAATTAAATACTAGAATATTTGCATACTGGCATTAGAGTTTGCATACTGAAACAGCCAGCAGCATATATAAACTTTATTTCTATTTGTCATAAGAACACCTGAACTTAAAATCTAGTTAGTTTAACCGAATTGTCACAAGGATATTATTTATTTTAAAATTAAATATCATTTCAACATATAAATCAGATCCTCATGAGTGTACATGAAATATTTGACACTGGACGTTAGGCAGACAACCATCAATCAATATTAATCAGATATATCGATGTAACGAAAGTGCCATTTTTTTATTTACAAAAAACTAAATAATTGTTATATAAGAAAATATAAAACAGCATACGAAATGACAGTAGAAAATATCATATGAAAAAAAAAAAAAATTCTAAATATCACATATTAAATCGAAGACCTTTAAGTATTGTTGATTTTCTTAGACGTCGAATTTCCTGGAATCAAGCAAATTAGCAGAACATAAATGGATTAAAAAAATACAACTAAGTGCACCAAACATTTACAATAAAAGTCGTCCTGGTGTAGGCGGTCACAGTAAGAAAGTCATTTATAATTCATGTAATACGTATTAAAATGTGATATTATAATATAATTATGAACCGCCAAATACAAATTTAAAATAAAACATATAAGATAATTACCATAAAAGTTGGAAACAGCTTGAAACCTTTTCAGACCAGACAATTTCGAAATCATAAAAGACATGTCTTCATGCAATCACAACAAAGTGATCATGATCATAAGTACAAGAAGTTCGACCACTACAAAGAACATGCCTCCCTTACTGGTATCTGTTCTGAAACATGGATTTCCCGTGGACAATGCGACAATAGCTTATGACAGAACAGTGGACTAATAGACTATTTTCATATAACCGACTTTTGACTCCGGATTATATAATTTGTCGACTGGTTACCTTGGACATCATGGTACCAAGTCAGGTAAGAGCAAGCTAAAGAAGTAAAACCAAGCTTTCAATCGGTACAATTTTGGGGGAAAATTACCTGGTTAATATTTTTTTTCACTACAAAATACTACTGTAAACTTTCCCCTCAAATTACACCGATTATATGTTTGATTTTAATTATTTTGGTTGCTCTTACTTGACCGAGTACCATGATGTCCAAGGTAACCAGTCGACAAATTATATAATCCGGAGTCAAAAGTCGGTAATATGAAAATAGTCTATTGATTCTTTAGTCTTCGATAAATGATTTTGATATTAGTTGTTATTGGCTGTAAACTAGCTGTCAGTAACTGCGAATACTCTCAGATCTGTGCTTTGTGTCTTTATTTGTTGTAGGGATGTATAAATACCCTGCCAAGTCCGGCCTGTGTTTTTGTTTCTTGTTTTTTTCTGCTTTGACTCGATCTGATGAGTTAAGCCCTTTTCAACTGATTTTTATAGTTTGTTTATATGTTGTACTGTTACATCAATGTCCCAGGTTAGGGGAGGGATGGGCGTCGCTAACATGTTTAACCCCTCCATATTCTGTGTGTGCCTGTCCCAAGTCGTGAGCCTGTAATTCAGTGGTTGAAGATTGTTGCTGTATATCATATTTGTATTTCGTTCATTGTGTTTTTACATAAATCAGGTCGTTAGCTTTCTCGTTTGAATTGTTTTACATTTGTCATACGGGGCTTTTTGTAGCTGACTATGCAGTATGGGGTTTTGGTCATTGTTGAAGGCCGTACGGTGACCTATAGTTGTTATTTTGCGGAGATTTGTCTCATTGACAGTTATACCACATCTTCTTACTTTTATATGCACAGCTTTCCTGTACACTTTATATAATAGTTTAGTTTCGAGTTTGGTAGAGTTTTTAATAATAAAATTAAAGGGTGTTAGCGAAGTTTCCGACTATACGTTTATTTATGTGTTTTTGTATGTGCTTTAAGATACTCAATTTTACCTTTGTAAGAAAATAACATTAACAGATGAATATTTTTTTGTAATAAGGATTTCTGCATTTTCGAACAAATCTAATTTTCACCATGTCATTATTATGAATTAGGACTCGATAAAGCAGATAAAATTAGATATAATAATACACATAAACATGATATATAACAAACCTGTCGTCAATAATTATCACCTTAAATGTGTTAATATTATCATATATTTGTTGTACGTACATGTTCCACAAACTATTAAAAAGGCACGTTGTATGAAATCACATGTTCCGTCTGCCTCAACCATGGCCTCACACAAATTACTCATAAGGTTAAAAGAAAAGTCAGGTTCCGACGTGTCTTTCCATAACACAACACTCCCATAATTTGAAGGTTTTTCGCTCACTATACTATGCTGAAATTCGAAAAACATAGTTTTTATTGGCAAAAGTTATCAGTATGATTGAACGAAAAGCAATAATGATAAAAATGTAAAACTCATTTTACATGACTTGACTTAAAATACAAGTAGGTAATATGAATAGAAGGCAACAGAAGGAACACATGTTAAAAACTCGAAAATCAATTTTGAATTTACAAACCAAGAGAGACAAAAAACCAGAGTGAATCGCATGAACTCTATACGGGATCAGACTGGATGTGTCGACTGGGTAATGCAATTGTCACTAGACGTAAAACAAACGGTCAATCAATGTGAAATGTTTTTCAGTGAACGTTATCCAATCAATGAATCAATGTAAAATATGTGTCACGAGAGTTTGTGACAACAGTCAATCAATCAACCCAATCATGTCAGCAAAGATGGAAAGACCTCCATCACAATTGTTTTTTTTTAAATTATGAATAACCATTTGAACAATTTTGAAAGGAAAAAAAATGTATGATTATACAGATCCTGTTGACAAAATATGTTTTCCTTTAGTGTCAAGAAATCCTAGCTCAAAATTCCGTATACTACCTACTATTTTCATCGTATTTGATTTCAACAAATTGTTTAATTGGCCTATGTCGGTTAGAACATGGTCATGTAGTGAATGGTGGAATAAAGTATCAAATTGAATGTAATTGACTCGCAAGGTATTAGAAGCATTTCAACGGAACTAGGTTATTTCTTTGTTTTCCACCCTTCCTAACGGTCCCGGTCCCGTGTATTTATTAGAGGAACTGGTTCCAGCCCTGCCTGCTAGTGGGATAGGTTACATTTTACCTTCATTTCTTTTTTTCTGTATATTTTTCTGAGTTTTGTTTGTATTGTCGTCTTTAAACTTTAATATTTATTTAGACATTTATATTGTATTTATTCGACTGGTGATTTTCAATTATCCACTTGTTTTGTTTTTACCTTTTTAAGATAACTAATCAATTTCAAGGTAAATAGTCTCGAGATATTTCCTTGAACTATTTATTGCGTTTGTTTTCTCGGATACAAATGTCCGATATAGTGATTTGAAGTAATGAACAAATTGCAACTGATGAGAAATCAATCAATATAATTGCTTCCAAAAGAGTATTACTAACAGCTTAAATTTGAAAAATCACGATACATTGATTCTAAATCCACCGATTTAGCAAATCAGTTTAAAAACAAAATAAGTTATTACCCATTAAGCAAAAGACATTGATTACATACGTTTATTAATGGAGGTCGTACGTTGACCTTCAGTAATCTGTTGTATTGTATCATCTTTCTTTGACATACCATTCCCATCGTACATGTAGTAAAACATGTATGAAGACAATGCACGTGCATGTCATTTGAATATTAAACAAATTAGTAGATAAAAGATGAAAAAATGTTGAGCTATACATAATCCGAGCATGCACGTGAACTGTACAATGTAGAGACTTTCTAAGCACACTGAAGACCAAAGTATATACTGTTGACCGTACTAAGTCGACATTTATAGTGGATTTTTTTCTACAGGGATTGACGACACTTGTTTTTTTTTTAATAAAATCTTATCCCAACTCAAACGTATAATTCCTACTTAAATCATCATAATGAAATATTAAACAACAAAAATTCTGACATTGATGTCCAGAATGAAAGCGTGTGCTGTCGAAAACTTTAAAATTATTTATTGACGGAACAGGGATCAGACTTCGTTGATTAGTCTTTCCTAATACTGTCAGACAGGCAATAAAACAGTCTTTGCGTCCATTTTAATTAACTCTATAATGTCATTCAATACTACGTTCTGCAATGATAGTCACTGTAGGTTAAGGGTACTTCGAAATAAGACATTTTGTACGGCAAACACGCAGTGACGATACTGCAAATGTAGAGGACAGGAGGGCTATCATTATTTAAGTAAACCCTAAAATACGCGTGTCTCTGTTTGTGCTGTAAGCTTGCTCATGTTCGTATATCTTTTATACGTGTATTAAAAATGCTTGGCAACAAAAGTGAAGCACAAGGCAAAAAAAGAACACAAAAGTCGGAGAAAAATCGACAATACCATCATTGTAAAAATCGTAACACCGACAAAATCAAAGCTTATTTTGAAAAGGTATTTTCTATGCTTTATGTTAATTAAGTCTTATCCCATTGGTGAGCGCCATTGTAACCATAATGTTTATACATGTATAATCCCGTTTAATGGCGTCTTGTGTATGCATTCTTGTACAGGCAAACTAGTTCTTTAAGTGTTCATGAGTTTGTTTATCTTGACATAACTGTTAGAGTATTTATTTGACTTATAAGTAATGACAGATTTTTTACGGTTATGATCGATATGTTATCTGGGCTTTTTATGCACAAGTATCATAAAATCCTTAGGAATGAATGTAGTTTGTGCGTAGTCGGCCGAGGTGTCACAAGTGGAACAGGAACTACTGTACCCTTTCGGATCACCCGAGGTCTTTACATCCCCAGTTTTTGTTGGGGTTTGTGTAACTCAATCTTTAGTTGTCTGTGTACTACTTTGTGAACTATTGTTTGTCTTCGTGTCGTTTTTCGTTTGACCACGGTGTTGTCTGTTTTTATTAGACATATAGTTTTGATTGCCCCTGGATTCTTCTCCTTTTTTTACACACCAATTAACGCCCCAATTTATGCCATGAAATAATCCATTACCTTAATCAGAAACAAGTAGACTAGTAAAAAACACCTTGGCACAGGTTAAGCCATCTGTACCATATTAAGCATATTAGAGAAACGTGAAACAGTTTCTTAGTGCAAAACGTCATAAAATTATATCCCTATATATAAAAACACGCCCATTTTCCTTTCTTTTTAACATGACATGACCCGTACATTTTGCAGTACCGTGTCAAAAATAACATCAATGTCAATTTTATCATTTCAAAAGAAATATGGCGACAGAACTTTATCAATGTTCCAACGTATATTATAAATATTATTTAAAAAAATGTCAATTTTTGACAAATGGAAAATTAAAAACAAAATGTTGAGAAATAAGTGATTTAATTGCACATGTCAATACTTTAACATCAGTATAAACTAACTTAGTACAAAATATGCAACCTTAAATTGAAGGTTAGTTTGACAACAAGTCTGTAAAAGTGAACATGGTGTACGAAGATGTCCCCTTCGCATCGATTTTTTAAGGCTCTACCATGCTTAAAGATTAGTATTCAGTAAAGGTATTTTTTCTTAAAAAATCTGACAAATTAAATGTATACGGTTTCACTATTTGATTTGCAATTTTAACCACTAGAAAATATTACTAGCCGTTTTTAAAATTTTCACAAATGTCCCCTGCGTAACGATATATGTCCCCTATGAAACGATCTGTGTCCACTTTGCAACGAGTTGGGTCCACTCCGCAATGAAATGTTGCGTAGTGGACCGTTGCGCAGTGGACGTATTTACATGTTAGCAGCCACTGTTGGTACACGCGGTATCTCAGATACATGTTTTTATTATTATTGTCTTAGATAATACATTTTAGTTCATAAACTCCACGTTTTTGATGATTTGAGGTCAACATTTCTGTAAAAAAAAGACCTTGCAAAGTGGACAAGTAAAAAAGTACGCTATCAATAGGACTTGCCAATTGATTCAATGCAGACGAACTATATCATCAGAATCCAAAGATGACCGCAATTTTACTAAATGAAGTTGTATTAATGTGTATTAATGGCAAGTAAAAGGAAAGACTACAATTTAATTTAACTACAATTTAAATAGAAGAATGATTATAATTTTGCCAATTGTTTGTTGTCGTTGCGAAGTGGACATTTCTTTCATGGACGCCACTTAAAATTTACTGGCATAAATCTATTTGAACTTTAATGTTCAGATGTAGCTCTATGACAAAACATTGAAAAAAGCACAAAAAAGATTGGTAAGTTGTATGAAATTTTGAAAATTTGAATAAACTTTCAAATGTTGACAGAGCGTTTTTGCTGTTTTTGAGCCCTTTGGTCAGATATTTTCAGAGAGTCCTTACCACGTGCACAAAGCAGACAAAAGGTGTTGTCGTTGTCTTTAATAAGTACAATTTATAGACTGAGACCAAAAAAATAGAAAAAAAAATATATATAATATGATTTTATCACAAATTTAAGCCGTGAACAGGAAAGTGGACAGTCAGTCATATTTGGAAAAACGCCCATACAGCTTTAATTTGTATGCTGTTCTAATTTGCCTCTTTTGGCCTCGAATTTTCAAAAACATAAGAACTGATAAATGTACTGAATGCAAATTTATCAATTTAAAATACAGCAAAACTATCTTATACCATAACATTAGAAACTCTTTGATATATATGTTTGCCTCTCATCACGGTTCCTGTCGATATACACGCCATCTTGAAATTATTACTTCACACCAGTTAGTTCTGATTGGTTGTTTGACAAATCTATTGGCTCCAATGCGTTATAAGATAGAGAACACGTCAGGAAGGGGATAAGAAAATAAATAAAAGTACAGGTATTGCTATTGGGGATCACATATTGGTGGATAAGAGAGGATTTAAAAAAAAATATACATTTATTAATACGCGTTCCCTTTGGGTAATGTGAATTACTCTTTATATAACCTATATATGCAATGAAACGAAAGCTGACATAAATGTTATGATACTGCGAAGCATCGCATGCCTTTTTGGAAAGATGAACTTTTAAATGCTGATGATCCATCTGATAATTCTTTTTGAATGAAGTATCGAAGATGTGCACGATTTCAACAATACCTCCCCCCCCCCCCCCCAAAAAAAAAAAAAAACAAGAGAAAAAAAGAGAAAAAAAAAAAAGAATTAACATCATGTATTTTTTATTATATCCGGGTAATATACATGTATACATGTACATGTTTACAGTATACACAACTAACACACTATATAGATATATACATGTACTAGTATATAGATATAGATATAGACAACTCTAAATTGAAAACGTTTTCAAACCTATGATTGCGTTAGATAA